CGTTTGGAAATCCATCAATGTTTCCAGATTCTCGGTTGACTTAGTGTTCATGGCACTACTTAAATCTAATCTACTCTCTGTGTAATGGTATTATGTTATATTTTTTGTCTAAAGATGTCCTCCAGGGACCAAATTAGAATCGAAAGTTAGAATTTATATAATTACTCTCTTATAGTTGGACTAAGTAAGCATTTCGAGCCCATGGTTCTCCTTTATAAAGCCCAATATCGAAGTGCATTTTTGATTCTATGATTTAGGTGGTATTTCCATTTTAGTTTTCGATCAAGGATTACGCCTAGGTATTGAAACCTATTGGTTACTGATATCATCCTATACAAAACCAAGATTCGTCATTCTTTTTAAAACACAGATTTCGTTTGACATTCTGCCCCCCTTGCTGGGACTAGCCGTATTTAGGGCCTCCTCGACCCATCCTCTGGTGTACCGTGAAAAATGCCTTTATCTGGTAATTATATCATATATCTCGCGGCTTATCTGCCCATTCCTTGACATATATGTAGTTGATTCAGTCACTAAGTGAACAGTCAGCCTGGACTTTGTAAAAGAATTGAATAAAAGTGTCAGTTTGAACGCGGTTACCACCGTCGAGGGTATAAGTGTTTAAATTTTTGGGGCGGGTATAGAAGGGTTAATAAAATGATGTACTAAATTTTCAATTATTTTTAGTAAATAGTAAAAATTAAGCAATTGTTTAAACAGTTCTGCATTTTTAGTGAAGGTGTATTACTATAAGATTAAGTAAATTTATTTTTTTGTTAAATATGGCATGATTAATACTATTTTAAAGTTTAAATAAATACAAACCTATTTGCAATTAATTTCAAACAAATACTAAACAAAAACAAAATAATCATGTGAACGTGTTTAAACCATAATAAATTTACAACAATTTTTTTTGCTTTTGTTTAAAACTTTTAATTAATTTTAATTATACTAAACTTTTAAATAAATATTTCAAAAGAACAGAACCTAGAGTAAACAAAAATGTAGTAATTGAAATCTTAGTGACAATTCTACAAAGATTTTCTTAGAACATTGGTTGTGACAAGTTTAAGTATAGTAGACCCTGAACTAGATAATTTTTTTTGATTAGTAAAAGGATTGTGTTAAACACATTCTTTAAAAAATTAAAACAAATTTTCTATTTGTTAAAATAGTATGGAATTTTTTCGCAAAGTTATTTTTTTAATAAGTTTAGTTAGGTTTTCAAATAAAACAAAATATTTGTTTAAATGAAATTTTTCATGCACTTAACGAAATCTTTCATGTAATTAATGGAATTTTTCATGCACTTTATGAAACTTTTCATAACTTGTTGTTAAGTTAGCTCAAACATAAAATCAAACTTTTGAGGACAAGTTAGCTCGGGTTCAGCAACCTAAAACCAAGAAATCTCTTCAAAATTGGAAGACATAAACTATTACCTTAAAACTTATACGAAAAATGAAGTGGATGATACCAAAGAATCCTATGGTGTTTCAACTTCATTGAATTCTTCAAAATCTAAAACACTTCCCAAACTTTAACACAATCGGCGTCACTAGACGTTTGTGAAGCTGATTTTGAATCGGATTTAAGTAATGTTACACATATTGAAGACATAACTATAGTATATAGTCTTGACTATAGTCCGGACGTTCTTTATATGTTAGGGTCCTTAAGAGGCTACTAATCAAGACATATCAAATGCTTTTTTTCGTCTAATGTCCTGACAATAGTCTATAGTCTAAACTATAGTCTTGGCTATTGTCTAAAGTCTTGACTATAGTCTGTAGTATTGACTATAGTCTTGACTATAGTATGTAGTCTTGACTATAGTATGTAGTCTTGACTATAGTATGTAGTCTTGACTATAGTATGTAGTCTTGACTATAGTATGTAGTCTTGACTATAGTCTATAGTCTTGCCTATATTCTGTAGTCTTGACTATAGTCTATAGTCTTGACTATAGTCTATAGTCTTGACTATAGTCTATAGTCTTGACTATAGTCTATAGTCTTGACTATAGTCTATAGTCTTGACTATAATCTATAGTCTTGACTATAGTCTATGGTCTTGACTATAGTCTATAGTTTTGACTATTGCCTATAGTCTTGACTATTGTCTATAGTCTTGAATATTGTCTATAGTCTTGACTATGGTCTATAGTCTTGACTATAGTCTATAGTCTTGACTATAGTCTATAGTCTTGACTATAGTCTATAGTCTTGACTATAGTCTACAGTCTTGACTATATTCTACAGTCTTGCCTATACTCTATAGTCTTGACTATGGTCTATAGTCTTGACTATAGTCTATAGTCTTGACTATAGTCTATAGTCTTGACTATAGTCTACAGTCTTGACTATAGTCTACAGTCTTGCCTATACTCTATAGTCTTGACTATAGTCCGGCCGTTCTTTATAAGTAAGGGTCCTCAGGAGGCTACTAATCAAGACATTTCAAATGCTTTTTTTCGTCTAAAGTCCTGACAATAGTCTAAACTATGGTCTATAGTCTTGACTATGACTACAGTCTATAGTCTTGACTATAGTCTATAGTCTTGGCTATTGTCCATAGTCTTGACTATAGTCTATAGTCTTGGCTATTGTCCATAGTCTTGACTATAGTCTGTAGTCTTGATTGTAATCTATAGTCTTGACTATAGCATGTAGTCTTGACTATAGTCTATCGTCTTGACTATAGTCTGTAGTCTTGACTATAGTCTATCGTCTTGACTATAGTCTATAGTCTTGCCTATATTCTGTAGTCTTGACTATATTCTGTAGTCTTGACTATAGTCTATAGTCTTGACTATGACTACAGTCTATAGTCTTGACTATGACTACAGTCTATAGTCTTGACTATAGTCTATAGTCTTGGCTATTGTCTATAGTCTTGACTATAGTCTGTAGTCTTGACTATAGTCTATAGTCATGACTATTGTCTATAGTCTATCGTCGTGACTATAGTCTGTAGTCTTGACTATAGTCTATCGTCTTGACTATAGTCTGTAGTCTTGACTATAGTCTATCGTCTTGACTATAGTCTATATTCTTAACTATATTCTGTAGTCTTGACTATAGTCTGTAGTCTTGACTATAGTCTATTGTCTTGACTATAGTCTATAGTCTTGACTATAGTCTATTGTCTTGACTATAGTCTATAGTCTTGACTATAGTCTATAGTCTTGACTATAGTCTATAGTCTTGACTATAGTCTATAGTCTTGACTATAGTCTATAGTCTTGACTATAGTCTATAGTCTTGACTATAGTCTATAGTCTTGACTATAGTCTATAGTCTTGACTATGGTCTATAGTATTGACTATAGTCTTGACTATAGTCTATAGTCTTGACTACAGTCTATAGTCTTGACTATAGTCTACAGTCTTGACTATAGTCTACAGTCTTGCCTATACTCTATAGTCTTGACTATAGTCCGGCCGTTCTTTATAAGTAAGGATCCTCAGGAGGCTACTAATCAAGACATTTCAAATGCTTTTTTTCGTCTAAAGTCCTGACAATAGTCTATAGTCTAAACTATGGTCTATAGTCTTGACTATGACTACAGTCTATAGTCTTGACTATAGTCTATAGTCTTGGCTATTGTCCATAGTCTTGACTATAGTCTATAGTCTTGGCTATTGTCCATAGTCTTGACTATAGTCTGTAGTCTTGATTGTAATCTATAGTCTTGACTATAGCATGTAGTCTTGACTATAGCATGTAGTCTTGACTATAGTCTGTAGTCTTGACTATAGTCTATCGTCTTGACTATAGTCTATAGTCTTGCCTATATTCTGTAGTCTTGACTATATTCTGTAGTCTTGACTATAGTCTATAGTCTTGACTATGACTACAGTCTATAGTCGTGACTATGACTACAGTCTATAGTCTTGACTATAGTCTATAGTCTTGGCTATTGTCTATAGTCTTGACTATAGTCTGTAGTCTTGACTATAGTCTATAGTCATGACTATTGTCTATAATCTTGACTATAGTCTATCGTCTTGACTATAGTCTGTAGTCTTGACTATAGTCTATCGTCTTGACTATAGTCTGTAGTCTTGACTATAGTCTATCGTCTTGACTATAGTCTATAGTCTTGACTATATTCTGTAGTCTTGACTATAGTCTGTACTCTTGACTATAGTCTATTGTCTTGACTATAGTCTATAGTCTTGACTATAGTCTATAGTCTTGACTATAGTCTATAGTCTTGACTATAGTCTATAGTCTTGACTATAATCTATAGTCTTGACTATAGTCTATAGTCTTGACTATAGTCTATAGTCCTGATTATAGTCTATAGTCCTGACCATAGTCTATAGTCCTGACCATAGACTATAGTCCTGCCTATAGTCTATAGTCTTGACTATAGTCTATAGTCTTGACTTTAGTCTATAGTCTTGAAATTTTTCATACTCTTAATGAAATCTTTCATGCACTTAATGATATAATTTCATAACTTGATCTTAAACTTAAAACAAAAAGTTTGAGGTCAAGAATTCAGGAAACAATAAGTCTAGAAAGCTACAACAATTCTTCAAAACATTAAAAAATATAATGTAAAAAAGCCAGTTTTAAAGAATCTGAAATATAATATGGAAAATTTTTATAATTTTCTACATTTCCTGTAAACACAGTTTTTTGCTTGACTGATTTCCGATAGTGTTTTCTTAAACAATTTCCTATATTATTGCAAAATCAAGTGCTTCAGTAGCATGTGTTTCCATTGCAAAGTAATTCAAAACCCTAACGATTTTAAAATTATATAATAAACTAATCAGTCAAGTTAGAAGACATTTCAAACAGTTACTCTTTAACTTGAAGCAAGCCATCAACTGACATAATACGAAACATGATTAATGCAGAAATTATCTTTAGTATCTTATCTAATATTTTTTTATAATTTTGTGCTAAATACTTTTAAATTATCTATTAACAAAACATTCTTTTTAGATAAAATTTTTTAACAAATATTTTCGTTAATTGCAGATTATTATACACTACGACAACAAACAATAAGACAGAGCCAATAACTGCTGTAAATACTTTACCCACTGGTGGCCATAAAATAAATAGTCAACACAATACTCCTACAAAACATAAAAAGGAAAGATTGCCCTCTACAGCGCCAACGCTAACTAAACCGAAAATCTTAGCACAACAAACCATAAAAACGGAAAATGCCACAGCTCTTAGTGCACCTCCCATACTGAGGGCCACCTATGAGTTGGAATCTTCTCAGGCTCTAGAAGAGCTGTTGAAAAAACGTGAAGAAGATCTACGAAAACGACGAGAACATGTTGAACGTTTAATGCAATGGCATCAACGTCTAGACGAAGAAGAAGCTGAGGTCTTAAACTTGGAACGTCAGCTCCTAAGTTACAATAATGTTCCACATATGGTGGAACAACAACCGTCAAAATTACAAACGACTACAAGTTCAGCGAGTACGGAAAAGTTGACAGCTGCCCACGACAATACGAAACGAAGTGAGGACGTTAACGCCTCATCGTTAAAATCACCCGAAAAGAAACGCGCCTCACGTGCGCGTAAAATGGAAAAACGTCTTAAGGAAATCGATAAAAGTTTAAGAGAACTTTCGCATATATCCGCCTCAAGTACAACAACGTCCGCTGGTGTTATGGGCCAAACTAATAACGAGCAGCAGGAAGATTCGATCTCTAGTATAGCCACACAAGAAGTTGATTTCGTACGCACCACTGGCATGAAACTTAATAAATTGTGGAAACGTTTGACGTCACAACAAATAGAGAAATTTGAACCCAGTCGTCGTTATAAGTTGTGTAAAACGGACTTAGAACGTCTGTATGAAGAGGCCAAAATGGCGGTGTTAAGAGATTTTGCCGAAGATGAGGAACGTATAGCCCAGGAACTTTTAGAAAAGAGTGCTTCTAATTTAAGTTCCAGCAACAGTCTTACGGGTCTAGGGCAAATACCGAAACCACAGGATCCTAGCAGAGCGTTAGAAGTGCCGACTTTAAATTTGAATTTTAGTTCAGGACACTCGGAACCAGAAGAGGAGTCAGCTAATAATTCACAAGTCAATACCACACAACAGGGCAACTATAGTCCCAGTGTGGCAGAGGAAAATTTCAAAGCTCAGGTTCTACTAAATTCCAGCGCTTCTTCCGATACCATTTCCGAACAGCAAACTTCGGCGGATGGTAAACATTCAGCCAGCCGTCTGGAAAACAATGTACAAATGTTTTTAGCCTTAAGTCAACGTATACAAACAACAAACAGTGGCAGGCATGCCGGTACGGGAGGAAAACTGCAGCGCAGTTTAAGCGATACTGAAATATCCGAGGCACCAAAGTTTAGGGCAGATAAAAGCACAACTAGTCAAAAGAGTATAGCAACTATAGCTAGTCAATCGAATACAAGTATAAGCACTAATAGTTCAGCACGATCTTGCGGCTCGTCGTCAGAACAACAAGAACAACACCAAAGATCGAAATCTTCCATAGTGGAAATGACATACATTCCTTCAACACAAACAGAAACGCCAGCGCCAACGCCAACAGACTTAAGACAAACACCACCCACCCCTCCCGCATACCAACAACGAGAACATAAAAACAATGAAACTACAAAAGACTTGGAACATGATAGGGTATTAACAAGCAACCTACAGTCATTCAGTCGATCATCCGTTATATGTTCTGTAGGTAATGTAACACCAAATAAATTATCACCACAAACTTCTTCGGATATTAACACAATTACAGAAGATTCCAAATCTTCTGCCAGTTTAAAATCAAACTTAATTACAAAAGATGTAACAAGTGCTTCATATCCCTCTGCGGCATCAAACATAAAATCCAACTTTTCCGGACAAGTTGGTTCGGATTCGGCAACAAAGGCTCAAGAAATCTCTTCGAAATTGGAAGAAATATCGGCTGCCGTTACACAACTTTCACAAATGAATGCTTTGCCCTCCTATGAATCTGTTACACATGCGCATTCGCGTAACAAATCCCTAGATGAGGCCATAGTAAATACAAATGATGAATCCTCCAACTTGAGTACAGATGCCTCCTCATATTCCTTTAATTTTGAAAACATTACCACTGATAAGCATTCCTCACCCGGAACATCTACACTTCACACAAATTCATTGCAACATAAAACTATAACATCCAAAACATTTACGAAAAATGAAAAGGACGAGAATAAAGAATCCTCTGGTGCTTCAACTTCCTTGAATTCTACAAAATCGAAAACTTTTGTAAGAGATGATGGCAAAAATACTTCTCAAACTTTAACACAATCGGCGTTCGAAAATCGTATACTAGATACTTATGAAGCTGATTTTGAATCGGATTTAAGTAATGTTACTCATATTGAAGACATAACTATACCGACATTTGAAACTACAGCCGAGACGATACAAGATGAGGAGGATGACGAAGAATTGTCAACAAAATCATCAGCGAAAGAGGAGGATATTCTTAAAGATAGTATAGAAAATGTAAGCACGGAAGCTTCTGACAAAACGTACAATGCTGAAGAACTCAAATCACCTTCATCGTCGAGCACTGAAAAGCCCTTAGCTTTAGCGACAAATGCTAAAACACGAAAACCTAGTCCTGATAGAGAGTTATTACCTCCACCACCTCCCTTGCCACCACCACCACCGCCTCCTACAACTACTGCAACATCCTCAGCAGCGGGAACATCAACCCAAAATGGCAGTAATCATCTTATGCCGGATATAATTAATGAATTGGAATTAAGACGTCATCAACTTATTTTGGATAATGAGGTAAATATAGATAGATAGATAGATAGATAGATAGATAGATAGATAGATAGATAGATAGATAGATAGATAGATAGATAGATAGATAGATAGATAGATAGATAGATAGATAGATAGATAGATAGATAGATAGATAGATAGATAGATAGATAGATAGATAGATAGATAGATAGATAGATAGATAGATAGATAGATAGATAGATAGATAGATAGATAGATAGATAGATAGATAGATAATAGATAGATAGATAGATAGATAGATAGATAGATAGATAGATAGATAGATAGATAGATAGATAGATAGATAGATAGATAGATAGATAGATAGATAGATAGATAGATAGATAGATAGATAGATAGATAGATAGATAGATAGATAGATAGATAGATAGATAGATAGATAGATAGATAGATAGATAGATAGATAGATAGATAGATAGATAGATAGATAGATAGATAGATAGATAGATAGATAGATAGATAGATAGATAGATAGATAGATAGATAGATAGATAGATAGATAGATAGATAGATAGATAGATAGATAGATAGATAGATAGATAGATAGATAGATAGATAGATAGATAGATAGATAGATAGATAGATAGATAGATAGATAGATAGATAGATAGATAGATCGATAGATAGATCGATAGATAGATAGATAGATAGATAGATAGATAGATAGATAGATAGATAGATAGATAGATAAATAGATACATAGATAAATTATCCTCTAAACTTTCTGAGAATTTTTTCTTTTAACTTTCAATTTTGTTCTTAATTCTAGCATTTAAAACAATATGAACACGTTACCGCTGTGCCCTACATGTATGTACGTGAAATACCCAATAAACCACCACCGCCATATGTACCACCTGCTCATGGCAGTCCAATGACAACAATTTTTCCTTCCGAAGAACGTATTAAGGATATAACCTTTCGTAGAACCCATGAATTATACTGTGAACTATTAAAGACTGGTATGTTTAAGAACTAAATCTCAATTTTTAAATATTTTAATAATACTATCTTAAAACTTTCAGATTATTGCAATGAAAAAGGCGAAAAACTACCCTCTGTCATGGAGGAACAAATTACCAATATCTATGAACGTATTATACTCGACATTTGTCGTGAATATCTCGAAGAACGTAGTGAAATTCTGCGTGAAGGTGATCCCACAAATTTCCATAGTCAATTGGCATTTTTCAATCCACCCAATCGTTTGCGTTGCATACAAGATGCCATTTACAAAGAAGTACGTTCCAGCCTGGCCATGGATAAAACACCACCGAAACGTACACAAATCTATTCGGTTTATGGTCAGCGAGCCAAACAAGATCATATAGGTAAAATAATCATACAGGAAATGTATGATGAAGATGATCGTTGGTGTAATTTTCATCGTGAAGAATCGGAAGTTTTGCATTTAATGGTTGAGGAAATGTTGAATAAAAATATAGTGGCAATAGCCAAGGAAGTGCTATTGGAGGAGGGAGGCACCATAGATGTTGAAGAGGAGCAGCAAGTGGAAGAACAAGAAGAAACTATTATAGAGGAAAATGAAGCCAATCAAAAGGCCGAGGAGGATAATGAAAAAGAAGAAAATCGAACAGATTTACAGTCATCATCAGTATTGGTGGAAACTTTGAATGAAGACAATGAAACGTATTGTGTAAATGAAACAAAACAGGAGTTTACAGTATTGAATCAAAGCAACACTATTGAATCCGATTCTCAAGAAAGTGTTAATGTTAATAACACCATCAGCAACAACAGCAATAATGCCGTTCAAACGTGTACATAATTTTTTAACAACTAGTTATAGTTAAATCTTTATTTGTTTTAACTGTCGGTTTCACCAATATCTTTAAAAGTGTGTCGAAAATAATAATTTTATTTATTCGGCATACTTTTCTTTTGATTAGTGAATTAGGCAGTTAATTTCTCTCAACAAATTACTGTCTATGCCATTTTTTTAGGTTTCTTTCGTTTTTTAAGATATGTATGTAATCTTTTAAATATGTACTTAACTTTAGTTTTGTTTTATTGTCCTTAAATTAAGACGGTTTTTAACAACTTTTAAATAAGGTATAACTACAATAATAAATAATGCACCTAATCTAAGTTTGTCAATAAACCTTAATATGTATTAATGTTTATTTGTACTTATAGGTTTTAAATATAAATAATAGATATAAACATTATTAATATATATTATATAATATTATTTTATTAAATAAAATTGCTAATAACAATTTTATTAAAGTACGTACAAATATTTTTAATGAATTATTTAAATAATTTTTAGTTTAGTTAAGTCATTTATACTTACATACACTTTGTTTAATTTTTTCTTTTGTTTTGTTTAAGTTTAAGGCATAAAAAATACAAGTTAATTTCGTCTTTTGTATCTCTTGATAAGTTTTTAAAATAACGAACAAATTGCTTGTATGTATTACAGTTTTTAGTTAAAACCTTTTAATTTTAGAATTGCGCTAAGAAACGAAAAAGGCGTTTATTTTATTTTTCAACAAATAAACTGCAAGAAATTTTATATTTTAAAATGTTTTGTGTTTTTATTTAAATTTTGAAAATATTTGAAAAAAATTATTTCCAAATGCTACTCATTTCGAAACTGGTAGATAGATAGATAGATAGATAGATAGATAGATAGATAGATAGATAGATAGATAGATAGATAGATAGATAGATAGATAGATAGATAGATAGATAGATAGATAGATAGATTGATAGATAGATAGATAGATAGATAGATAGATAGATAGATAGATAGATAGATAGATAGATAGATAGATAGATAGATAGATAGATAGATAGATAGATAGATAGATAGATAGATAGATAGATAGGTATATATATAGATAGATAGGTAGATAGATATGTAGATAGATAGATAGATAGATAGATAGATAGATAGATAGATAGATAGATAGATAGATAGATAGGTATATATATAGATAGATAGGTAGATAGATATGTAGATAGATAGATAGATAGATAGATAGATAGATAGATAGATAGATAGATAGATAGATAGATAGATAGATAGATAAATAGATAGATAGATAGATAGATAGATAGATAGATAGATAGATAGATAGATAGATAGATAGATAAATAGATGGATAGATAGATATATAGATAGATAGATAGATAGATAGATAGATAGATAGATAGATAGATAGATAGATAGATAGATAGATAGATATAAATAGAGTAAAAAACCCCAGAATGTCGCATCCTACCAATCCCAGATGATCATGGAATCTTTTACCTAGCCATTTCAATCTCAGAATCTGAACTTTAGCATAAAATGTGCCCTACTGTTTCTTGTTCCTTCTTCGTATTCATGTAACCTAAAAAACATGTGCGTTACCGACCCTCTAAAGGCTCTAGTTGCGCAGTGGCCGGTTATTGCCCTTATCAAAGTGTCTATACTCTTCTTGTCCACTCCTAATAGTACTCTGGTTGTTTTTGCGTACAATCCATCGTAATGTGCCAGGACCGGTGGGAACGAGGTCCTGTGTATGATTCCATTTTGGATCCTTGGGTAAAGACTGTACAACCCTCAAACCGAATTTCGGACCCAATCCACTCTCTACTACCTTAAACCTATACGTTATCCACATAAGCTGCTATCTTCCTACCGTTAGATTTAAAGACTGTAAGGATAGAGTTGACCGAAAGCAACCAGAGTAGGGGTGATAACACTAGTGCTTTTGTTCCACTGGTAACTCGTTTCCAAATCTTGTTTGTCATCACATAAGGTTGAGTAGATAATTCTGAAGTTAAGCTCGAAAGTATCCAACTCACTAAGATATCCTGACCCTTAATACGACTAGCAAATCCCTGATGACCTCTATTTTAAAGTTATTAAAGACGGTCTTTCCAAAAAGCGGCATCAAAAAAACCCTATGCTCTAAGCCGTGCTTAAAACAACCAGCCACCTCATGTACCGCACTATTTCGTTAACAAAATATTTCATTTGAAATTATTTTTTATTTATTATTCAAAAGTAATACATGTAGCAACTTGGTCATTCATTCAAACCTCCTCCTAAAAATTATTAATAAATTTATTAATAATTACCAAATACAAATGTAATTTGTACAAAACTCCCAGTATAAACAAATAATGTTTACACTCTGGCAACTCGTATAACAACATCAGGATATTTATAGCATGCGATTGTCATACAAAAAAACAATATGGCGTGCGAGAAATTAAAACAAAACAGATGTTTACATTATTCTAGCAAGCCACTAATAAAACGCGTGAAATAAACAAATTAAAAATAAATGGAATAATTTTGTTTGTAATGAAATAAAATTATATTCAAATTTTATTGAACGTTAAGAAAGACTAAAAATGAAAGTAGAAAAAACAAACACAGCAACGCCTCAAAAGCAAGAGCCTACGCAGCAGCAACTATCACAGAATCGTAAATCATCAGTTTGGTCAAGAGAGAAAATAAACCAATTGATAGAGCTATACAAAAAACATGAATGTCTTTGGAATCACTGGCATGAATCCTACAAGAATAAAGAGAAACGTAATCGAGCTATAGAGGATATTTGTACAACTTTAAATGTTCCAAAATTTGAGTTTGGCAAAAAGATACACAATCTACGCAATCAATTCAATACGGAAATGAAAAAACTGGAGCAGCGTATAGAAGA